AGAAATTCAATCAATTCGGTTGACAAGAAACAAGGTTCAAGGCTCAACGGGCTACTAATGAAAATATATGTTCAAGGTCAATGAAAAGGCTAAAACGAGCAATGTCAAAGAAATGCCTCAATCATTTTCACAAATCACAATTTTAATCACTTCATTTCAAAAAAGACTCAAAGCAAGTTCTGATCAACACAAATTTCGACCAATGACTCTCAAGAAACAACATAAGGCTCAAACCTCACATCAGGTAAATAAGTGTCCAACAAAACGACACATCAAGTTCATCAAAGCATACTGGTCATGATCATCATCACATCTCCTCAACGTCATCAATAATCATCAACAAATCTCAAAATTCACCATAATCCATACTAAAAAACACACAGCTGACTCAAGATAGGACACTAAAATAAAAACGGAAAATGAAACCAACCTAAAAGAACTAGACCTGGTCAATTACATAAGCCACATGATCATGTAAAAACTCCCCCACACTTAAAACAGAACAATGTCCCCATTGTCGATCATCAGTGCAAGGAAAGTTTACCCATATAGTCAACCAACATAAAAGACAGGAAAACTAAAACAAAGACAAAGATAAAGAGAAGGGAAAAGTACAAACGTACAAGGCACAGTGACTAGATGAGTCATTGTGAATCCGGTGGTGCAGGTGGAGGTTGGAGGTAGTCAGGCCCCGAACAGCGGTGGGCCTCTGTCACATCAAATCGCTCACCCCATTGTAATCGGGGCAACTCCTTCGAACTCAGCTGGGGAGGGGTAATGGGGCGATCAGAACGGTAACCCCTCTGGACACGGTCCTGCAATGACATCTTAGCGTGCTCTCGCATGCACGCTTTCTCAGTGAGCTGCTCAATCGCCCTAAGGTAAGCGCAGTCTTCCACAACATTCGCCTGCGGCTTATGCTGGGCCTCTCGAGCGAAGATGGAGATGGACTCGCCTAACACTGCCATGGTCGCCGTCCCCTTCCTCACATCAATAAAAGTTCCAGTGGTCGCCATGAAAGGTCGCCCGAGGAGGATGGCGTGTTGTTTCCCTTTTTCTTCCACGTTCCCCACATCGAGCACTACGAAGTCCACGGGGACTATCAACTTTCCTATTCGAACAAGCACATCCTCCACGATCCCTTCTGGTCGACGGTATGAGCGATCAGCCAGCTGTAGGCGCATGCCGGTGGGCTTCAACTTTCCTAGCCCGAGTCGGTGGTAAACTGCAAGTGGCATGAGGTTAATGCCTGCTCCAAGATCAAGCAATCCCGATGTCTCTTCCCCATTCCCGAAGGCCATAGTGATTACAAAGCCTCCGGGATCCTTTTCTTTCTTCGGCAAGTCATGCTGGAAGACACTCGCCGCCTCACAGATAATCACCTCCTCACCATTCTCAAACCTCTTCTTGTTCGTGGCCACTTCCTTGAAGAATCGTGCATAAGCCGGAACTTTCTTCAACACATCGGGAGGAGATAAGTTGACATTGGCCTTGGCCAACATCGCATGAAGGTCCCGAATCATAGTGTGGTCCTTCTCCTCCAATAGTCGGCTCGAGAAAGGAATCTTCGGTCGGTAAGGGTTCGGGGATCTGTGTAAAGTAGGCTCGGGTGGTGGTGTCACTGGAGCTTCTTCTGTCCTCCCTCGCTCATTTGGGCCCTCTTTTTCTTCTTTCACCTCTTCGGGCATAATCACGGTTACTGCATTTGCATGCTCCGGCTGGCTTGGTAGCTTCCCTTTATTTAGTTCAGTCTCGATGGTCCCGATCCGTGTGGCTAACTGTCCCACTTACGTCTCGAGGCGCTTAATGGAAGCCTCGTTGTTCATGGTTCGTTGCTTGTTGTCGGCCAAAAACTGGAGGATCTTATCAAGCTTCTCATCTAAGTTTGTCGGGCTCGGTCCGGCTTCTGGTGCTGGCAACCTTAACATTTGTCCCCTGTGTTGCTGCTAATGGGGAACAAAGTTAGGTTGAGGCGGCTGCTGGGAGTTGTTTTTAGACCAGGAGAAGCTTGGGTGGTTTCTCCACCTGGGGTTGTACGTGTTCGAGTAGGGGTCGTTTCCGGGCCGGTCCTGATACCCCTGCAATGCGTTAACCTCAACATCTGCCCTCCGTGATTCAGCTCGATAGCCGACGGGCACACCTCAGAGTTGTGCCCCTGGATTTCACAGGCTCCACACACATTCACAGCCATAGTCTGAACCGGTGAAGCTCCACTTGCGTTTAGTAGCCGCATCTGCTCCGTGAGCTCGGCTAACTGCTGGGCCATGACGTTGTTTCCCGATCCGACCTCATTCACTGAGGACCTTTTCCCTCTAATACTTTTCTAAGACGAATTGGCACTCATCGTCTCGTAGATCTCAATCATCTCTTCAACTATTTTGGCCCCAATATCCCCTCCGGCTGCGTTATCCACCATAAACTGCAGGTTCTGGTGGAGAGAGTCGTAGAAACAATTCGCTAAGAGCCCTGGACCGAGGTTGTGATGTGGGCACTGCCATTGGAGGTCCTTGAATCGCTCCCAGGTCTCATGAAGAGGCTCGTTTGGCAGTTGAGCAAAAGAGACTATCTGGGACGAGATGTCTTGGGTCTTCTGATGGGAATAATATTTCCCGACAAATTTCGAGTAGACTTCGGCCCAAGTCGTGAGAGAATCCGGTGTGAGGGTCATGAGCCAGGCCTTGACCTGGTCCTTCAGAGTCTCCGGGAAGCATCGCATCTTTAGCTGGTCCTCAGTCAGTCTGTGAAGAGGGAACGCCTGGAGGACATTGTAAAGCTCCCGGAGGAAGTGGAGTGGATCCTCATTTGGAAGACCATGGAAAGATGGTAACTGGTTGTAGTGGATCATCTTCAGCTCATAGTTTCGGGCTTCTTGCGGCAACCGGATGCATGAAGTGATTGGCCCGATTATGGGTTAGGCCAAGTCTCTGAGGATGTTGCGAGGCGGTTGTTGTGCAGCCATGTCTGGGTTACTCCCCTCAGATGATTCTGGTGAATGCTCGCCTTCTTCGTGTGGCTCGAGAGTAAGCTCGTCCAGCAGCTCTCTCAGGCTCTCGTTGAAGGGTTCGTTAATTGGAGATAGTTTACGTCCACTCCTGGTACGCATACACTCAGGCAACAAACATGTTACGAGCACCAATAGTAAAGAAAAGAAAATAAAACAAGAAAAAGAAACACGAAAAATAAGGAAAACACAAAACCAAAGAGAAACATGAAAATAAGATGAATAAGCGCACAAAATATGTCCTAAACCTTCCCCGGCAACGGCGCCATTTTGTTGTAATAATTTTTACCGGAGTAGAATCACAAGATTCGAATACCGGGTCGTGTCTCACGAGGAAGGTTAGCCGGAATACTTAGCACATTTATTCAAGCACAGACAAAAGAGATAAAATTCCTAAACATTCTAATTCAGATGATTTGGTTTGATTATCAACTACGTAAAACTTCAAATTAAGCAAATAGAAATAGCAAAGCAAAGACGATGAACAAGCAATATTAAAGAAGCTAGGGAGTCGGGGATATCCGTTTTGGCTCGAATTGCAACTATCGGGCCAGTGATCGTTCGGTTAAATGATTCGAATAATTCACTCGTTCAGAGATTTATCCTCAATAACTCTTCGTAACAAGAGGACAGATGTGAACGGCGAATTAACGGGTCATTTAACACCTAGGCAATACCGTTACGAACAAGCCTAGTTTATACGAGCCTATTTCTATCGACTCCTCCCCTTTCGGTCCTAAAAGTCGATTGAATTGAACTAGAAGGTGTTTAACCAACTAGTCCGTTTAGCATTAACAACATCATGCAAGAACGAATCAAATTCAATCGAAATCAATTGGAAATTGAAGTGTCACCCTTCAACAATTCTCAACTTTCAAGTATGATAATTGAAACCCTATTTAAGAACAACTCGCACAAATTGAACGATCAATGAATCTCAATAATCACATACGAATCCAAAACATTAATCCCCTATCCCTAGCTTACGGATTTAGCTACTCATCATAGATTCAACATCAACATACACATCAATCCAAGCCATCATAATCATAGATAAAACAAAGAAAGAAAGCTTACGATTAAATATGAATCCAATGTCGAAAAGCGATGAACAATCCAAATCCTAAAGCTTACTCTTAGTGTTTTCACATTCCAAGATCAATTCCAAGTGAAAGATAAGAGAAAACTGAGTTCTGGGGTGAAAAGGTACGAGAGAATGATAAAACCTAGAAAGAACATCCTCAAAAACTGATTAAAAATCCGAAATAAAAATCTGCTCTTCGCGGAGGAGGAAGTCGCGGCCGCGGTGAAGAAATCCCGCGGCCGCGACCATCTCCGAGGCTGCGAGCTCATCTGGCCAGTTTTGGAATGTTTTGGGACCCTCGCGGCCGCGACTTGTACTCTCCGCGGCCGCGGTGAAGGAAACTGGGCAGCTGCGCTCTGCTTTACGTTTCGAGCTAGTTTGGGCTCGTCCGAACTCGGAATTGAGTTCCATTTTTTGCCATGCATCACCAACGAACCCATCTATCCAGTTATGCTCTCAAAACCAACTTTTCCTGAAGAGAAAATTCGCCCAAATCTCCTGACCTACACACAAAAAACGACAAAACACAAAAGAAAATCGGAAAAACAAACGAAAAACACCTAAGGACTCAAGATGAAGGAAAACACATAATAAAACACGAAATGGACTAAAAACTAAAGAAACGAGCTAAAATGGGGAAAAAGAAAGATAAAATAAACACGAAAAACGCAACAAAAATGAGACAAACATACACGTTCGTATTTTTTTTTATTATTATTGGAATATCATGTACTGTATCTTACATATTATATAATTGTGCAATTCATATATCGTGATTGTGCTATTGTGGTTTTACAGGCTTATGTTCAAGATTTTGCATCTAAAACTCGTTCCCTTGCTGCAATTGGTGTTGAAATATTAAAGTTGGTCGAAAAGGCACCACAAGTTTTATTGGGGGATGAAAACTTTATCAAAATGCAAGACATGACACAGAAGTTGCTTGGTTTGTATAGTGAAGCGCCCAATGGGAATTTGAGCCACCCCGGCTCAAGTTAACCTCGTTGCACTAGTGCCACAAAGAGAAGTGATGCAACGAATGTCAACGTGAATTGTGCTGCCTCTCAGATAGCCGATGATGCGTTTTGGAATGATCCTGTAACATTAGCGGCTATAGACGACATTATGAAGGCAGTTGAGCAACGAGAGCATTTTCGAGAGCGTTTCTGAGAGTACATAGCTACAGCTTGGGCTTGTCGTCAGATGATGAAGACGCCGATGATAACTATAACCATGCGAGCGGGGAAGCAACTGCATTTGTGATTCCTGCTGTGACTCCTGGAGTGGTCATAGATCAACAAATGGTGGAGACGCCTCCCGTAGTAGATGCACAACTAGGTACGTTATAGAAATATTTCAATCATATACGTACGTGTGATATTTTTGTTTTTCTCTTCTTTTTTGTTTAGTATGTTTGCGTCCACTTATCGATGTTGGTTTTTCGTATTACATTATATACTTATTTATATGCGTGCAGGCAGTGTTGACGATGTACGTGGATCCCCGAGGCTAAACAGGCGCATCCAGGCTACCAGTGCAATGAAATCTCCCTACCAAGAGAGAGCAATTGATGTGGTTAAGAAGCTTGACGGGAAAGAGAAGATGATAGTCAACTGGATAATGAAGAATGATGCTGCTGATGGGTACGATTATTGTTGTTTAGTTAGACTTGAGACGTATATTTAATGAGTATTATTCTAATTTTTTTTTTCCGTACGCATGATTACGGAAACGCCCAGCAATCTTGTTATATTCCGGTCACCGGAATACTCCGTGAAGAAGGATGTTGTTGAGTGTTTGCTGCCAGATACACTGATTACAAAAGAACTACTAGAGTTGTAGTCATTCATCCTGAACCATATGGAGATTTTGAAAAGTCGTGGGGCGCCACAATGTTTTTTTGCATCTACGTCCCCTTGCAACGAGGTGCTATACTTTCCTTTATGCGTTTTTTTATAATATGTGCATGTTACGAATATACTAATGGTCTTTTCTGTTCTTGTTTAAAAACAATTGATGCATACACACACACACACATACACATATACATATATATATTAGGTTTAATTATATACGGTACAAAGCTTAGCTCGAGATACTAGATGAATGTCCTACGACAATCGGCCATGTTGTGTGATGCTTTGTTTGTTATGGAATAATTTAGTAATTTGAGTAGACTACATTATTCTGTGACCTCTGTTATTCTGTGTTGCGATTAAGGACAAATGTGTTTTTATTTTTTCCTTTTTGGCATTGTGTTTTGCAGCTATTTTTTGATGGCAAAAGAAGAAAGGACTTGAGGTACAAAAAGTTTGCCCAGACGCTAGATTTTGAAATTGCACGAATGTCCAGATACAAACTAAAACAGATATCGATGGTAATCGGTTTTCTTGATGATATGCATTATGTTGCTATTGTATCGTTAATTACATGAACTACTCTGTTGGATTACATTTTCAACTATTTTAGACAGTGCCAGTAATTGCAAAGATGCGGCTGTGAAGAAGGCTCTCATGTCACGTGTCGGGCTGTTGGTAATGTTATAATATACATATGATTTGGTGTTATTACATTTGTGTGTGTATTGTGTTTGTATTTACCATGTATTACTTTGTTACAGCAACAATCACTATCAAAGTATTTAGGCGAGAGGAATTTGTCAAGGAGTTCTAAGTTAGTTGGATTAGCCATTCCGGACGTTGTTGACATGGCATGGGTCAAGGGGGTTGATGAGGCTGATGTCGGTGTGATCACAATGCGCCACATGGAGACTTTTAAGGGCGCTGTTGGTGAGAGTTGGAATCCACAGCTAAAGGTGGGAGACAAAGGACAGACGAAGCTCATGAGGAAGCGCTATAGTTATGTCATAGCTTGTGCACCGAATAATAAACTGAGGGATATCAATCTAGCGGAAGCAAATAGATTTCATCCGGTGTATCTCGCAAAGAAGCAACACATGTCAGCATAGTGTGATTGAATGTTTAATGATGTAGACAGTGAATATGTTTGGAGTTAGTACTTGTTTTGATGTTTTGTGGATCATCGATCACTTAATACTTTTGAATACTCTTGTGTGAATGATGCGTTTTGATGACATGACGTCGAATGGGCAATGGTTAACTGGATTTTTTTTTTATGTGTTTTGCGTGTATATTATCTTGATGTTGTCAGGTTATGATATGAATGCAAATTGTAGGGGCTCAGAGTTTTATTCCAGCAGTTGTTTAGGTTATGAATTAAAATTTATATTGTGCATAGTAGTTGTACACATTGTGCAATATTACACATGTTGTTGTGCAATACAATATTACTGCATATACTGTTTTAATGTTACACTTGAACCTATATTACAATTGTATGCGATTTGATTGACTGGTCGATATTATATATAATAGGTTTGTGAGCATCAATTAATATGTGTGCGTGCGAAAGTGCGACAGTGTATCGTGCAATGTAAACATAATATTGTGAGCATCAGTTAATTTTTATAATAACGGGTTTGTACATTGAATTGTTACAAATACAACAAATATAACGAGCATGGTTACGTATAACAGTGGTAATGCCAATCCCGAATTGTTATATCTGTAATTTTTATAGTGCAACACGGTTGGTTATGTTGTGCAGCTCGTGTGAAATATTGTGGATATACCTGTGCCATCAAAGCAGGAAATAAATAACAGAATTCATATCATTCGTAGTGATAATACAACTATTATAATACTTCTAAAACAAAAATTGTGCCGACAAATTGTATCTAACAATTGTATGTCCTGACAATGAGCGTGGACTTAGTTCATCCACAATTAATCTAAAACAAATCAATGTGCCATCACCGCGCGTGGAAGTGAAACTCCCAGACCAGATGGATGACTGCCAATGTAAAATTTTACAAATTAGTATATGAATTTGATGATCAATAAAGAAAAAACGATGTGTTTGTGCAAACAAGGCGATTGTAACGTGATTCTGATAAATAATATTATGTAAATATTCTGATTTTTTTCAACAAAGCACCCTGTTGAATTTGTCAGTAAATATACAATAGTCATATTAAAATACAAATATGTAATATACAATGTAAATGTAAGATATTTATGTATTTTATAACAGTACAATTGAAATTGTTTACCTCCAACCATTTCTAGATGATATGTTGCTGCCTTTTAGGGCATGTATGCGTATTGTGCCCGGCCCTCTCACCACACGTCTTGCAAAGTCTTCTTTTTTTATTGGACTGTTCAATTGATTTTTCCTTAGCAGATTTGATCCTTTTTCCACTGCCTTTGTTTCTCGATTGTGTTGGGGGATGGATGCTTACTGATTCGGGAGCAGATGTGCCGACAAACGTCTCAAACCTCTATTCTTTGTCAATGCTAGTCGAATCACTATCTTGTGCTGCCAATAGTCTGTTCTTTTGTTCACCAATGATCTTGGAAAACTCGACAAGTCAATCCATGCTTGTCTCAACCAACCCCATGCATACATGTATGTCGGACCACAACTTGTTAACCATGAACTTCTTTTCATCCCGCTTTGCACATTGATCGGAAAGGCTATCAAGTATATGAAACATAGGGTTCGTGACAGCAAGTTTTGTCCACCTCGACACAATATGTGTAGGTGGTATTACCTCCAGGTTTATGTCTTTAAACACGACAAATATGTGACTACACACCAGTCCATACATCTCAAAGTGTTTGCACGAGCACTTTGATGTATTAAGCCCTACATTGTGCACAACTGTGAAAGTTTTAACACCACCATCTTTTATCACGAACGTCAGGTGGCTGCTCTCTTCAGAAAAAGTCATAACTCGACATTTGTAACATGCATCACATAGCTCATTTTGCACACGATAGAATATCGTGGTGGTGTATGCATTAAGGGCTGACTTTTCAATAGGCAATTGAGTTTTTAACTTAATTAGCCTGATGAGTTTCATCATCGCATTGTAACTTCATCGATTTGTTCCGTTGTGCATCCATCGCACTATCAAAGTGCAACAAGAACTCGACCAAACTAGAATGATTATTTGTGAAGCTACTAAACCAATTGTTTTCACTTTCCGATCTAGATGTAGTCCTCATCAACCCACTCATTCTAATATCTCTAAAATATGCCGGTAAACAGTGTTCTCTTGGCAAACAAATCAATAAACCAACTATGTGTTCCCAATGAATATTCATTCATTATTCCAGCCCATTTAGATTCAAAGTCAGAAGGCTCAATGCTCCGAGACCAGACAATTTTGTTTATCCGCCGTTTGAAATTAGCATCATTAATTAAAGAATGACCGACCTTGTCACACAACTTATTCATTATGTGCCATATGCAAAAGCGGTGTTTGCTACTAGTGAATACCTTGGTGAATGCAATTCCAATCGATGGATCTTGGTCTGTGATGATGTAGTTGGGCTCATGGATCATGGCGTCTTTGAATTTTTCAAATACCCATACATACGAATTCACGTCTTCCTTTGATATCAAAGCGGCGGCGAATGTTACGCACTTGTTGTGGTTGTCTATCCCGGTAAAAGGCGCAAACACCATATTGAACCTACAATATCCAATTATAACAAACATCAATATATTTTGGTTGTATATATATTATGCAGTACTATATTTTTGCACGATTGTTTTAAATGGATGTGCAGAACTCATTTACCTATTTGTGCGGTATGTTGCATCAAATGATACAACATCCCTGAAAGACCCGTAGTTTCTGCGTGATATTGGATCAGCCCAAAAAAGCCTCCGCAAGCAGTCATTCTCATCTAACTCATACTGAAAATAAAAAGCGGAACTATCCTCCTGACGTTTATAGAACTTTTCTATTACCAATTGAGCGTTGGCGCCCGAAATGTATGCAAGTAGTTCCCTTTTGAAGTTTTTGAAGTCCACATGGGTTGCGCCAACACTCGAATACCCGCCGACCATCTCTTTATACAGCTTGTAAGACTTGGTGGGCCTATATTTGCTTTTATACAGTTGAGAACAAAATTTTGATGTGCAGCAGTCATTGTTCGATTGACCTTCAGTTGTGACCTGCACTCATCAGGGGTCATGGCATGGTTGTGTTTTTCCTCGAAAAATCTAATAACATACCCATTATTTCTATCAGCTCGTAGCATAATTCGTGCATTACATCCAATTCAGTTGGAGATCCTACGCCTTCTAACACGACCCTCATTTAGTACCAGTTGGCCTGTGTTTGAGCGATTCTTGTACCCTTCACGCGAGCACACCAAGTATTTCCGAAGCACTGTCGTCTTATCTCTTGATTTCACCAGGGTGCTTTGTCTAACATTAAAACCAACCGTAGAAGCGAAGATCCAGTAGAAATCACTTGCTTCGCTTAACCCCTTAAATCGTTGTCCACTGTGAGGTCGAGTTGCGTCGTCACATTGGGGTATCCAATACTTTGTGCCCCCCGGTGTTATTATGAGTTGATGGTGTTGGGACGTCTCGTTCGGGTTTGTGTCTGCAATACGTTATGGGAAATAAACAACAATAAGTTAACAAATAAAAATAAATATATTACAGAGTGAATGCACGTCTACCTACAGTAACTCGCACATTAAATAGTACTATAATGCACACTTATGTATATTATGGTGCACAAATTATAATGAACGTAAGCAGATTCACATGAAAATGCTAGGGTTGATGTTTCAAAACTTATGCCATAAATCTGTATATTAATCAAACTATAATGTACAATTAATGATATAAATCCAAAATACCTGCTTGTGTATTAATAAATTCCATTTGTTGCAACAGAAACAGTCCTTGGATAACTACGTGGTCTGCATATAATGGTGCAAAAATAGCAAAATTAGAGCTGAAAAACGATTGAATTCTTCGAAGCGATGGGATCTCAAGAAGCACAGTAGACAATTTGTCGAGGCCAGCTACTCGATCGGAGCTCAAAATATGGAGTAGGGATATTGTAAACTCATTCAGAGCTCATGTTGAGTCCATCTTTTTTATTGATGCAGGTGCACCCTCGACCACCTTTCGATTGTTTTTCGTATCTCGATCAATCGCATGATCCCTAATTTCTTTTTTTTTTTTAATTATTTTTGATGCTGAACTAATTTGTGTATTGTCGGCACATTCCATTAGGTATACTAGATTGCTGTATTTATTAAATTACCGGTATGCCCCTCCAATTATGCGCTGGTGAATGCGTTAATGCCGTCAGATCATTTTAATCCTATGGACTGGATGTATTCTTATTTTCTCTTGTTAACATCTTTCTCACCGGAACCCATCCCAGATAAAAATTTATCTGTTTTGGTCGCGCAATTCAATTTAACTGATAATATTAATCAGATAAAATAACAGATAAAATTTATCTATTTTGATCGCTGCAATTGCCCAAAATTAATTCAAATTGACTAATACAAAAATAATCAAAATCGGCCGATTCTCTCGGGATCAATCTGAAAATTATTCGAGGCTCGGTTCAACTCGGCGAAATATAAATTGAAACCGGCTAATACATAACACACATAATATTTATTTAGTAATAACCATAATAATAATAATAATAACAATACAGATACACGTTTAGGCAATTAATTACACACATTATTTATCTATCTATATTAATAAACAATTAAGGCAATTACGAGCACAATTAAAATAGACAAATTATTCGGACAATTAAAATAAGTAACAATAATTTTCAAAATAATCCGGAACAAATGGAGCGCTACAATGCATCACAAGTTTCCAATGATCCACATAATGAAGTGATAGTGAGACGGTCGATAAGGGAAAAATGACCTGCTATCTCTGATGACTATGTGGTTTATTCTCTTGAGAGTAAATGTGACTTGAGCATGGATTTAGATCCAATGTCGTTTAAAGAAGCCATGGAAATTGTAAATTTTGAAAAATGGATCAATGCCATGAAAGAAGAATTAAAGTCAATGGATGACAATAAAGTCTGGAATTTAGTAGAATTACCTGAAGGGTCTAAAAGAATCGGGTGTAAATGGGTTTTCAAAACCAAACGCGACTCTAAAAGTAATATCGAAAGATATAAATCTAGACTTGTTGCTAAAGGATACACCCAAAAGGAAGGCATTGACTTCAAGGAAACATTCTCTCCGGTTTCGAAGAAAGATTCCTTGAGAATTGTATTGGCAATGGTAGCTCATTATGACTTGGAGCTTCATCAAATGGACGTAAAGACTGTCTTCCTAAATGGAGAATTGGAAGAGGAAGTTTATATGAACCAACCAGATGGTTTTGAGATCACAGGAAAGGAAAAGTTAGTGTGCAAGTTGAATAGATCGATATATGGACTAAAGCAAACCTCTCGCCAATGGTATCTCAAGTTTAATGATATCATCACCGCTTATGGTTTTGTAGAGAATATCGTGGATCGGTGAATCTACATTAAGGTCAGTGGGAGTAGGTTCGTTATTTTGGAGATGTTGCACGAAGTAAAGCATTATCTCTCTAAAAAATTCGAAATGAAGGATATGGGTGAAGCGTCCTTTGTTATTGGAGTAGAAATATTGCGGAATAGATCACAAGGACTTTTAGTTTATCATAGAAAAGTTATATTTCGAAAGTTTTAAAGAGATATAAAATGGATGGTTGCTCTGCAGGAGTAGTTCCAATTCAGAAAGGGGATAAGTTTAGCCTTAAATAATGTCCGCAAAGTGAAATGGAATGAAAAGAGATGGAGATTATTCCTTATGCTTCTTTAGTTGGGAGTTTGATGTACGCACAGACCTGTACTAGGCCTGATATCAGTTTTATCGTTGGTATGCTGGGAAGATACCAAAGTAATCCCGGACTTGATCATTAGAAGGCTGCGAAGAAAGTTCTTAGGTATTTACAAGGCACCAAAG